CTGTAGCACCAAGAGGAGGGGACACGGGGCTCGGAGTCTCCAGAACTGGTGGAACTCGATGTCTCTTCCCTGGTCGATTGGCCCCTGGTTTTTCTACTCCTGTCATCCAGAGTCTGACAGCTGGCTAGTCAGCTCCAACTCACAGCGACCCTAGAGACAGAGTAGAAGTGCTCTGAGGGCTTCTGAGTCTGTGAATCTTCACAGTCATCTTTCTCCCTCGGAGCAGCTAGTGAGTTTCAACTGCTAACCCTAACCCACAGTGCTACATACAGCCAAGAAGCCCTGTTGTAATGCTGATGATGGGTTACAACACTGAGTCAGTGTGGACTGGAGGCTCTCCTGGTCTGGCTGAAAGTTCTAGGACAGAGCTCTTGCAAATGTGGCTGTTACTGTTCCCGTGGTACTTGTCGGACACACAGAAGGGCATGCTGGGAGTGGGAAGCAGGGATGCTGGGAGTGGGAAGCCCTGCTTCCCATGATGGCGACCGCTGCACTGACTTGGAGCACATCTCTAGGAAACTTCCAGAAGGAAGCCCTCATGGGTGTGGCAAGAGCATACACCTTCTTAGGCTGCCCTGCTGCCCTGCTGCTCCTGGTCATCTGAGGGGTTGGGAAGGGAAGGGGCGCGATCTCCTGCTCCCCAGGTCCTTGATTTCCTGAGGACCTTTCTGGCAGTTTATTGGATTTTTCATGGGGAGGCCTCTACTTACTGTGTGAACGTGTCACCTTGAGCAGGGTCTTACCGTCTTTTTACTGTCTCTTTCTGTTCTGGAATCCCAATCATGCCTAAGTTATTCCTCTTCACGGTGTCCCACATATAGCTCAGGCTTGCTTCCAAGGTTTTCATCGTCTTTTCTGGTTGCTCTTACAGCTTACTAGTATTGATTTATCTTCAAGGTTACTAATTCGGGTCTCCTCCTTTGTCCTTCCAGTGTAGTGTCCATTTCTGAGATCCTGGTATTAATCTCTGAATTTCTAATTACAGGTTTTGCACTGTTTGAAAATTGACACTTAGCTTGTCTGTTTGTTTTTCTAGTTTTTTCTGACTTCTTCGTAAGTTTTTTTCTGTGTTCTTGTTTTCCTCCATCTTCTTGCCAATTCATTGATGGCACCTAAATGTCATTCATTTGAATTCTTCCTCAGAAATGTTTTCTGGCTCTGTATCTTGGCCATTTGTTTGAGCCGCTCTGTTCTTCTTGTGAGCGACAATTGTTGTCATCTGTGTCGCGTGTGTATTTAGTTGGTGATGTTCTGCAGGCTCTCACAAGCTGTCTCCTGGTGCCCTGTTTGCCAGTCACCTTTGGTGCAGCTCGGTGCAGGTGGGTTTGATTGGGCTTGGCTGCTCTCTGTTACTGATCAGGTGGTGTAGGAGCTGCTATGGGCGCTTGTCCAGTGGGTGATGCTGCAGAGGGCGTGGTTGTGGTGGTTCTCTCCCATCTGGTGGGACAAGAGGGTAAAACACACACAGGAAGATAAAACAGAGCAAACAACAGTAATAAGGGAAAACAAAAGAGCATAATAGCGAAAAAGAGGAAAGAGGGACGGAAAGTAACGCTGTACAAGAGAAAAATTAAGAGGGAAAACAACACGATAAAAACCAGAGGGAAGATGAAAATAGAAAGAGCCTAGAGGGCCATAAAGAAAATTGAGAGGAAAAAAGGAGGAGGAGAAGAGGGTGGAAATGAGAAACAGAAAGAAAAAAGAAAAGTGGAGATAGAGTAAAAACCACAGGAAGGGACAGAGAAAAAGAAGAAGAAAGAATTAAGACAACAAAAACAACGAAATAATGAGTGGAAAAAGAAACAAAAAACATAGTGCTGATGTTGGAACCAGAAAGGAAAAAGCTCTGGGGGCTCCTACCAGCCAAGGAATTCAGAAGGTGGGTGGAGGAGGGATGTGTCAGCTTGGTTGCCCTGACTGAGTTCCTGTAGGCCTCGGTGTGGTCTGTGTTTAGGGCACCCAATCAGGAAGTAGTTCTTGGAGGCCCTGCAGGGTACCAGCTTCAGTGTCTGTTGACTTGCTTCGGACCCATAGCGACCCTGTATAGGATTTCCGAGGAGTGACTAGTGAGCTTGAACCATGGACCTTGCAGTCTGGTACATTACCCCACAGCGCCACACCAGGACCTGTTTATTGTTAGTTTTTGTGTGCGTGTGTCTATAGTCAGTCTATAGAGGTTATTGATTTGTTAATTTTAGGTCCTGCTAATGCAGTCAAACCCTTTATTGCTTGGAGGAGGTTTATTTGTGATTCCTGGGGTCCCTACTGTGATTCCATTTACAGAAAATGTGGAGAAGGCAGGGCTCTAGTGACAGCTCCTCATCTGGTGTCCAGGGCCCAGGGCTGGGAGTGGGGGGTCCTACCAGGGCCC